AATGGTTGGGTAGCATTCCTTCTAACAGATACTTTGATTTCTCTCTTACTTCCTGATGAACCCAGCGGTGATTAAGTCTCGATCCTGCCTTCCTTCTGGGTGCTTAGTGGCTATGTTCTTGTTTTCTCTGATATCTACACACATGAATACTTTGTTACTTTTTTATTGTGATGATAAAGGTGACAGGCAGAGAGGTGACATCAGTTGGGTCGTGAGCGCATTTCTCAGTGGACCCTGTCCCCCCTTCCCTCGCTCTCTCCCCATTTTTCCCTCCATCCCCACCCATGAGTGGTAGAGTTCATTCTCCACCTGGTGTCCCGTGAGGACCACGGCTGCCTTGTCCCCTTCTGTCCCCCCATTTCTGTGTCCCCCTCTCCCTCCCAGAGACAGAGAAACCCACCCACGAGACAAAGAGAAATAGAAACAACATGGAAGGAAAAACCCTCTTGTTTCCATTTCCCGGAATCCATTTGGATCAATATTATTGTTTATGATCAGAGGCACAGAGGCCTTGTTTGTTTGTTTGTTTGTTGGTTGGTCTGTCCTGGGGTTTGAACTCAGGGCCTGGACCCTGTCCCTGAGCTTTTCCCCAAGGCTAGCGCTCTACCCCCTCGCTCCACCGCACCATTTCCAGCTTTTTCTGTGTTGTGCTACTGAGGAATCGAACCCAGGGCCTTATGCATGCTAGGCAAGTGCTCTACCCCTGAGCCACCTGCCCAGCCCCTTACACATGAACACTGACGGCCACTTCTGTCTACAGCATCTCCCCGACGACTCTGTACCCAGTGCTCACGTCGAACTCTACCTTCTGCCCCATCCCAGAGATGATCGGAGGAGGAAAACGAGGAGCGTCCCACGATGCACCAACCCCACTTACAACGAGATCGTGAGTGGAACCTGTCCTGTTCTATTGTTCCGTCTTCTCGGGGTGATATTATTTTCAATAGCGGTCAGCATCAGTCCAACGAGAAATGAGAGTTTCCTCCCCTCTCCAAAAAAAATATATAATAATAGTAATATGCTTAGTGTGCTGAGGAAGGTTCTAGAAGCTTTGGGAACTGTGAGGATACAGATCTTGCAGTGATAAGTTTTCACCTTGGGCCTACTGCCCAGCAGTAGCTGGACATTTGTGGAAGGAGGAGAGGAATTGTTTGTTTTTGTTTCTTGGTGAGGGTAGCGTGATCCCTGGCTTATTTTCCCTCACGTGGTTTTCCTGTATGTTTGATTTTGATTTTCCTCACCCCGTCTCGCACAAGTTACCTCCCCCCCACCTGCCGATTGTAGGCCTGTTCGACTCCTACACACTTTATGGCACCGGTGTGTACATTGCCATGCTACAATTACGTAGATCGGAGGGAACTTCGACCCACGGGGGAGGAAATAGCTAAGGAGCAAACACAAATCCCAGACGTTCATCCGTCGCCCCTCGAGTTAGCCTTCAGCCAAGAAAGAGGGTGCTTGAGTTCCAGCGTGGCTCCGGAAATCCAAGGATGGGCTGGAGCTGAGGGATATTTAAATGTATTCCTATTGAACGAAATTACAGTCTCTCTCCATTTGAAGTTGTAGAGAATGGGGACTTCCATTAAATGTGCTCTGATCCCCGAAAAACTTCAGTGTTTCAGAAACAATACCAGCCTGGAAAGATTCCTCGTTAGCCGGGGTGCCCCAGAGCACAAGAGAAGAGCAGCTAAATTATTTCAGTTGAAAATTATCATCAGCCAGGCGCTGGTGGCTCATACCTGTCATTGAAGCTACTACTTGGGAGGCTGAGATCAGAGGATCCAAGTTCAAAGCCAGCCTGGGCAGGAAAGTCCGTGAGACTCTTTATCTCCAATTCACCACCAAAAAGCCGGAAGTGGAGCTGTGGCTCAAGTGGTAGAGGGCCAGCCCTGAGCACAAAAGTTCAGGGACAGCGGTCAGGCCTTGAGTTCAAGTCCCAGAATTGGCACCAAAAAAATCAATAACTAAAGCAATGGTTAAAAAGATGCATTCAAGGCTGCATCTTATCCACTCTTGATTTTGTCTTTTCAGATTGTGTATGACGAGGTCACAGAGCTGGAAGGCCGTGTGTTAATGGTTATTGTAAAGAGCAAAGCTGTGTTTGTGGGAGCAATTAACATCTACCTCTGCAGTGTTCCGCTCCAAGAAGAAAAATGGTACCCACTGGGAAGCAGCATCATTTGACCATGGCCGTGAAGCTACACATTATTCACTAATTACTTGGGGTTTGGGTTCTTTTTTCCACTTCTGAATATATATCACAAAGCAAGTTATCGGTGTGGTCCAAGGCCAAATAGGGTATTAGAGGCACAAGAAAACAACTCACAAGTCTTTTGTAGTTAATTCAGACACCATGTTTCTTTATTTTCTTAGAATTGGTTCACATTACACAGAGTGATCACTCAGTAAAATTCAATCAAATAAAAAGCAATTGAGTTTTACACGCTGTTGTGTGTGTGTGTATTTGTGTGTATGTGTATCCCTGTATACACATATACATATAAATATCCATATATCTTACAACCCTTCAAGAATTACCATTAGCTCTGCCTTCAAAACAGATGCCGAGGGCTGGACAGGTGGCTCAGTGGTAGAGTGCTCGCCTAGCATGCATGAGGCCCTGGGTTCAATTCCTCAGTACCACAGACACAGAAAAAGCCAGAAGAGGCACTGTGGCTCAAGCGGTAGAGGGCGCTGTGGCTCAAGTGGTAGAGTGCTAGCCTTGAGCCAAAGCAGCTCAGGGACAGCGGCCAGGCCCTGAGTTCAAGGCCCAGAACTGACACAAAACAACAACAAATGTCAAGCATGATCACTTATCATCATCCACCTGTGGCCTCCTAGATGACCCCACTGCCTTCCACGCAGGCTCCCCGCTTCTGTACCTCTCACCGTCTATTCTCAACACGGAGCCTACGAAAACTGTCATTCTATGCAGACCTCTCCTGGGACCTCCAATCACAGCATCAAAGCCCGGACCCTAAAAACCCCACTGAGGGCTGCACACACACACACACACACACACACACACACACACACACACACACACACACACACATGCACAGTGAGTGCCCAGGCCCTAAGTTCAAACCCAAGGACTGGCAACTAACAACTATAACAACAACAATAACAACAACAATAATAATAATGCATGCCAAGCAAGTTAAAAAAGCAGCTTTCTTCATGTTGCTGCATTTTGTATATGTAAAGGTGAATGAAGCTGGTGGGCACTGTGGCTCCTGCCTGGCCTCCCAGCTACTCAGGCTGAGATTTGAGGATCGTGGTTCAAAGCCAGCCTGGGCAGGAAAGTCTGTGAGACTCCACTGAGCCACCAAAAAAGCCATTAGTGGAGCTGTGGTTCACACGGTAGAGCACCAGCCTTGAGCACAAAAAGAAAAGCTCGGGGACAGCGCCCAGGCCCTGAGTTCGAGCCCCGGGACTGAGGGTTGAGAAAGAAAAGATACCAGTGGATGAGCTGAACTTTCTGTTTCCATGTGTGATTCTTTCTGCTCCCTGACTCGGGCAGGGGAAAACAACACGAGCGGGCGTGGGTCTGGCTGTTTTATTGGGGTGCAGAGCTGACGGGGGTCACGTGCCGTTCTCCTCGCGAATGTACCACACGTACACAAAGAGTGAAGAAGGTTCCAGACTCTCGCCGGTTCTGGAGAACAGAGGGACGCGGCGGTAACCTGCAAGGGAATCAAACCTGAGCACGGACCTCCCCCCTGCGGTGCCCATGCATTCCAAATCATGCCACAGAGCCGGGCACCCGGGGCTCCCGCCTGCCATCCCAGCCACTCAGGAGGCTGAGATCTGAGGATCAGGGTTCAAGGCCAGCCTGGGCAGGAAAATCCGTGAGACTCTGATCTCCAAGGAACCACCAGAAAACCGGAAGTGGAGCTGTGGCTCAAGGGGTAGAGCACCAGCCTTGAGTGAAAGAGCTCAGGGACGGCATCCAGGCCCTGAGTTCAAGACCCAGAACAAGCACAAAAAGGGGAGGAGAAGGGAAGAGAGGAGAGGAGAGGAGAGGAGGAAGGGAAGAAGGAAAAGAGAAGAAAGGAAGAAAGAAAGAGGGAGGGAGGGAGAAAGGAAGGAAGGAAAGGAAGGGGAGAGAAGGGAAGGTGGAAGGAAAGGAGGAAGAGAGGGAAGGAAGGAAGGAAGGAAGGGAAAAAGAGAAAGAGGGAGGGTGGAGGAAGGAAGGAAAGGAAGAGGGAGGAAGGGAAAGAAGAAAGAAAAAAGAGAAAGAAAGAAAGAAAGAAAGGGAGGGAGGGAGGGAAGGAGGAAGGAAGGAAGGAAAGAAAGAAGGAAAAAAAGAGAAAGAGGGAGGGTGGAGAAAGGAAGGAAAGGGGGAGGAAGGGAAGAAGGGAAAGAAAGAAAGAAAGGAAAGAAAGAAAGAAGAAGGAAGGAGGGAGGGAGGGAGAGAGGGAGGGTGGGTAAGCACGTGGAGTTGGGGGCACTGGAAGGTACTAAGTGGACCCCCGGGAGAAGGTGCCTCTGTGCTATGGCTGCATCCAGGATAGGAGTCAGGCGAGGGCAGCCTCCACCGCAGTCAGGATTCAGGATTTCCCGGGTGGGCGTGCGCTTGGTGGCTGGGGAGAGCCGGCACGATGGAAGGGCGCAGGGCGCAGGCCGCAGGCCGCAGGCCGCAGGGCGCAGGGTGCAGGGCGCAGGGCGCAGGCCGCAGGGCGCAGGGTGCAGGGTGCAGGGCGCAGGGCGCAGGCCGCAGGGCGCAGGGCGCAGGGTGCAGGGCGCAGGGCGCAGGCCGCAGGGCGCAGGGTGCAGGGTGCAGGGCGCAGGGCGCAGGCCGCAGACCGCAGGCCACAGGGCGCGGGCCACAGGGCGCAGGGCGCGGGCCGCAGGGCGCAGGCCGCAGGGCGCAGGGCGCAGGGCGCGGGCCGCAGGGCGCAGGGCGCGGGCCGCAGGGCGCGGGCCGCAGGGCGCAGGGCGCAGGGCGCGGGCCGCAGGCCGCGAGGTGCAGGGCCGCAGGGCGCGGGGCGCGGGCCGCAGGGCGCAGGGCGCGGGCCGCAGGGCGCAGGGCACGGGCCGCAGGGCGCAGGGCGCGGGCCGCAGGGCGAGGGCCGCAGGCCGCGGGCCGCGGGGTGCAGGGTGCGGGCCGCAGGGCGCAGGGCGCGGGCCGCAGGCCATAGGGCGGCCGTGAGGCCCACCCCTCACCCCCGTGAGACCCTCACCTTTGTTCATGCACAGGACTGGCAGGGTGTACTGCCCCAGAAACTCGTTCCCAGCTATCAGCCCCGGGGTCTCCACCACGAAGCGGATCAGCGCCAGCTCCGGCACTTGGATAATGAAGGTGAAGGTTTCGTTCCATTTGGGGCTGAAGGCTGAATAGCAAAAGACACGGGCATACAGTTACACATGCATGCATGCATGCATGCATACATACACACACATGCATGCACACACATACACGTACACATGCATATACACATAGATACATACATACACATACATGCACCTGCATGCACACGCACATACATACACATGCATATACATACAATTACATACATTATACATATATCATGCGCACATACATGCATGCATGCATGCATGTGCACAAATGCACATATTATGCATATATGTGCGTGTATGCACATACACATGTAAACATACGTGTGTGCATGCACATACATGTGTGCACATACACATACATACGTGCATGCATACACATGCACGTGTACACACATATACATGCATGCATTATACATACACACTATACATACATCACGTGTGTGCATACATACACATACGTCATACATATGTGCGTACACATCATAGATACATATACATGCATGCACATACACACATGCATCATACATACATACGTGCATACATGCGTATGTGTACATACATATATATACATAAAGAAGGCGTCATTGCTAGTGAACATTAAATACTCAACACTCACCCCAAATCTGTAGCCCTGTCTTTTAACACTTAAGACAAACAGCTCCTGGTGTAGAAACTTCCATTTTCAATGGCCAGGCACGGATGGCTCACATCTATAATCCTGGCTTTGATTTAAAACTTATTCAGGCCAAGCTTGGTGGCTCCCACCTGTCATCCCAGCTACTCAGGAGGCTGAGATCTAGAGGATCGCAGTTCAAAGCCAGCCCAAGCAGGAAAGTCTGTGAGACTCTGATCTCCAAGGAACCACCAGAAAACCAGAAGTGGTGCTGTGGTTCAAGTGGTAGAGCACCAGCCTTGAGTGAAAGAGCTCAGGGACAGCACCCAGGCCCCGAGTTCAAGACCCAGGACCAACACTCACACACACACACACACACACACACACACACAGCATCTTTCCATCGAGCCTGGTGAAGTCCCAGGAGGTAAGCGAAGATATTCACCATTTTTCCTAATGACGCGAGTCTGCTGCTTGACGTGGTCGTTGGGAACGCCGTACACCTCAATAATCACCAGCGTGTCGGCCTTGCTGGTGGGTGAGCTGCTGAGAGGCAGCTGGATTCCACTGATGACCTGCGTAAAGCAGAGAACCAGAACATTCCATGGGACGTTAACCTGCACCACAACTGCCCTCCAAGATAGAAACGCTGCAAGGCCAAGAGCGGTAGCTCCTGCCTGTAATCCCGGCCACTTGAGAGGTGGAGGTAGGCAGATTCTGGATTGGATGACTGTCCAAGCAAAGAGAGACAGAGAGACAGAGACAGAGAGAGACAGAGACAGAGACAGAGAGACAGAGAGACAGAGACAGAGACAGAGACAGAAGCTCTATTGCAGAATGGTATCGTGGCACACACTTGCAGTCTCAGCCACCCCAGAGACACAGATAGGAGTCTCCCTGCCCGAGGCCAGCCTTGAGCAGACGCACAAAACTATATCTGAAAAATAACAAAAGCCCAAGGACACAGGGGTGTCTTGAGTGGTTTGGGAATGGCTGGGAAAAGCACTCGACCCTGACTTCAAAAGCGGAGTACTGCAGAGAATTCATTTAATTTAATTTAAAAAATACTACCAAGAAATTGTTGATGGATTCCAGCTCAGTGCCTACCCAAAAATAAATAACAATAACAATAATAATTAAAGCTGGAAAATCGTATTTAAGGTTTACGGTTGAGCAAGTGGCTCAAGTGGTAGAGCGCCAGCCTTGAGCTGAAGGACAGCGCCCAGGCCCTGAGTTCAAGACCCACGACCAACAATCAATCAATCAAAGTTTAAGTCTGGATGTAAGTCAGTAAATAGCCAAGACCCAGCCATTCTCTTTTCCTTCAATGTGCAGACAGTGCTTTCACTATGCCCAACATTGACGATTCCTTAGCATCGCTAAAGAACTGGAGACTGAGGTACAAATGCGGGAGTTATAACCATCACCATCAACGGAAAGCCGAGGGAAAGACTTGCGCAGGGGGGTGGAGATTAAGAAGTCTTGAAAAGCCAGGCGCTGGTGGCTCCCGCCTGTCACCCCAGCTACTCAGGAGGCTGAGATCTGAGGATCACAGTTCAAAGCCAGCCTGGGCAGGAAAGTCCATGAGACTCTTATCTCCAATGAACCCCCAGAAAACCAGAAGTGGTGCTGTGGCTCAAGCGGTAGAGCACCAGCCTTGAGCTGAAGAATGCAGAGACAGCGCCCAAGCCCAGAGTTCAAGCCCCACAACCGACCAAAAAGATAAAAATAAAGTCAGGCTTTTGGAAGCTAAAAATAAGGTCAAGAGAAAGACGACAGTTTCAGGGCGGGGGTTAAACATCATCTTTGTGCAAAGAAGCACAGGAGAATATGTAGTTGGAAATACAAACTCGATTTTTAAAATACCACATTTTCAGCAATGTATTTGAGAAGCAGGGAAGAAAAAGAAAATGGAACCTACTAATGAAAACCAGAGAGTACAGACTCGAACCCGTGAAGCGGAGAGATGTTAGGATGCCCTAGGTCTGCTCTGTTTAAGATGTGAAAAAGAGCCAGGCACCGGTGGCTCACGCCAGTCACCCCGGCTACTCAGGAGGCTGAGATCCGAGGATCGCGGTTCAAAGCCAGCCCCGGGCGGGAAAATTCCATGAGAATTCTTAATCTCCAATGAACCACCCAAATGTTGGACGTGGAGCTGTGGCTCCAGTGGTAGAGCACCAGCCTTGAGTGAAAGAGCTCAGGGACAGCGCCCAGGCCCTGAATTCAAGATCCAGGACCATTGCACACCGTGCACGTGTGCATGCACACACACACACGTAAGTGAAAAGAGAAGATACTGTCATGCTATCAAATGCACTGGGTGGTCAATACTTTGCCAGATCTCGGAGCATTAACCCATCCATGTTTGCCACGTCTGCCACTCACAGACGATTTCTGTCCACCCACGACACGTCATTTGTTTGTGTCTGCACAATCCTTAACAACCAAGAGCAAAATGAACCCCACCGTTCAGTGTCCTGCAAGGGACCAAGGTCATTTCCACTCAAGGCCATCCTTCCCAGCACCCTTCTGTCCCACAGACCTTTCTAGAAGGTGACTTCCCTTCCCTCCCGTCTCCTAAAATATCAAGGTCTCTGGAGTTGAAAACAGGTAGTAGAAGATGGCAGTTGAAATGAACAAGATAAAGGCTTGCTTCGGGGACCTGGCATTGTGTGCACCCTGAAACCCAGAAAATGAGGACCAGAGGGGACTTCAAACACCAAAGCCCACAGAACCCAGGGCCAAGAAACCACGCGTGAACACAAGCAGCCTGACCAGAGACAGCGATCCTGAGAAAGGCTCAGACGGTCTTCACAGAAGCTCGTGGAATAGAAATGTGAACGAAGCCAAGCAGAGCTGTCTGAGCTATTTGTTACAGAATGGAAGCAAATCTGATCTAAATAGTGCAACTCATCAGTGACAGAGAGAGACAGACAGACAGACAGACAGAGACAGAGACAGAGACAGACAGAGAGACAGAGACAGAGAGAGAGAAACACATTATCTTTTCCCCCAAAAGATTCAGTAACATTTTCCAAAAGCGAAGACACATGGCGCTTAAGTTCCAAGACAAGAAGAAAGCTTTTGGAAAGAAAGCCTTCCTAATAAAATCAAGAGCCTTCAGGAAGCTGCTCTTGCTCGCGACGAAATGACGCAGGATTTTAAGGCACAGAAGATGAGAGGCAAAATATTTAACAAGAATGTGGGTATAGGTCAGAAATAGAGAGGGAACCCAGATCGACAAGCCCAGCGTCTTGAGAGGAGGCAGGGATGGAAGGATTGAAGTCTGAGGCCAGCGTCTGGGTTGAGAAATAAAGTTCGTAAGATTCTCTCTCTCTCTCTCTCTCTCTCTCACACACACACACACACACACACATACACACACACACCAAGCCAGGCATAGTAGCACACATCCATAATCCCAGCTACAGAAGCGTTGTAGGTAGGATGATCATTGTCCATGATCGGCACTGAAAAAAATATATAAATAAATAAATAAATAAATAAAGCAAAAGGCCCCATCTGAAAAATATCTAATGCATAAAGGGTTGGGGGAGGGGAGGAATGGTTCAAATAATAGAGCACCTATCCAGAATGTTCAATATTCCAGGATCATCAAAAAGTAAATTCAGCTGGGTGTCAGTAGCTCACGCCTGTCATCCCAGCTACTCAGGAGGCTGAGATCTGAGGATCACAGTTCAAAGCCAGCCTGGGCAGGAAAGTCCATGAGACTCTGATTTCCCATGAACCACCAGAAAACCACAAGTGGAGCTGTGGTTCAAGTGGTAGAGCGCCAGCCTTGAGCTGAAGAGCTGAGGGACAGCACCCAGGCACAGAGTTCAAGCCCCACAACCAACCAACACAAAACAAAAAAAAGTAAAGTCAATGCACATGGCGGAAGGAAGCATAACAATTGACAAACGAACAGCAACTTGGAAAATGAACATCTCCATTAAGATGAAGAAAGGCTCCGACACAGATTTTGAATCAGCAATTTAGAGAAAAACATTCAAGCGCTCCCAAAACCCAGAGCAAATCAGAAACAAGATTACTGCAAATTATTAGATGCTCAGGACAGAATCAGAGCAAAGCAATGAATCTATGATTATATATATATACATATATATATGCACACATACACCCTTTCTAAGAAATCAAATAATGTTCATAGACACAAGGAGAGACAAGATAGATCCTAGATCTCAAAAGCCTAGTGCTGGCAATTAATGCAAAGAAAATTGCTCCTTGAAGTACCTAGTAAAACCCTTTAAATTGAAGGAAGAAAAGGGACTGCAGCCACAAAATCACTAATAGGTTGAACTTAGACCTTGCTATTGAAATACAAAATGCTAACCCACAATCCAATAGTATAAATAGATCTTTGAGAGAAGAAAAAAAAAAAAGGTTGTAACCTCAAAATTTCCATTCGCCGAATGGAAATAATTCTTTTTAAAAAATAATGCAACAGAAGGACCTTTTTTTTATTTCAGCTATGGAAATGCTGTGAAAATATCACCCATGTGCAGTGTCTGGAAAAGATTTTAACCAATGTAAAAGGCATAAAAGCAAACCAAGCCGGGCACCGGTGGCTCACACCTGTCATCCCAGCTACTCAGGAGGCTGAGATCGGAGGATCGGGGTTCAAAGCCAGCCTGGGCAGGAAAGTCCATGAGACTCTGATTTCCCATGAACCACCAAAAATCCAGAAGTGGAGCTGTAGATCAAGTGGTAGAGCACCAGCCTTGATTGAAAGAGCTCAGGGACAGCGCCCAGGCCCTGAGTTCAAGTCCCACGATTGACCAAAAAAAAAAAAAAAATCGATAGAATTCAAAATATTCATGTACGCTACTTTAAAATGATAACCCAACAAACAACAAGGTAAAACCTCATTCCTCTTACCCTTATTGAAAGTGTGATCGGCTCACAGTCGGTGGCATTCATTGGGTTAAAGTCCGATTTATGATCTCTCAGGAAGAGCGGCTTGAGAAGATACCCAGAGCCACCGTTATCCAGAAATTTCCCATTTTGCAAGTCCATGGGCAGACCCGGTGTCTGGAAATTCAGGGCCACTGTGAGGAAAGAAGGATCGTGAGGCGGTCAGCAAAGAGGGCGGGAAATCGACCGAACCCCAGCCCTACCCTCTGTCTCCACGGTTTTATTGTTGTTGTTTTTATTGTGATGATAAAGGTGGCGGGCAGAGAGGTGACCAAGACATCATTCAGGTCATGAGCGCGTTTCTCTGTGGACCCTGCCCCCCCTTCCCTCGCTCTCTCCCCCAGTGTTTCCCTCCCGTCCCCACCCACCAGTGGTAGAGTTCATTCTCCACCTGGTGTCCAGTGAGGACCCCGGCTGCCTTGGTTTCCCCTCTGTTCCCCCATTTCTGTGTCCCCCCCTCACCCTCCCAGAGACAGAGAAACCCACCCACAAGACACAAGGAAAAGAAAACAGAAACCACATAGAAGAATAAGACATCTGTTCCCACGGCCTGGAGTCCATTCCAGTAAATATTATTTTCTATAATGAGAAGCATGTAGACACTGCACCTTGGAGCTCCTCGCCTCTGAGCGTGCTCCTCTGGGAGTCCTCCTCTGGGAGTCCTCCTCTGAGCGTGCTCCTCTGGGAGTCCTCCTCTGAGCGTGCTCCTCTGGGAGTCCTCCTCTGAGCGTGCTCCTCTGGGAGTCCTCCTCTGGGAGTCCTCCTCTGAGCGTGCTCCTCTGGGAGTCCTCCTCTGAGCGTGCTCCTCTGGGAGTCCTCCTCTGAGAGTCCTCCTCTGGGAGTCCTCCTCTGGGAGTCCTCCTCTGAGCGTGCTCCTCTGGGAGTCCTCCTCTGGGAGTCCTCCTCTGAGCATGCTCCTCTGGGAGTCCTCCTCTGGGACTCCTCCTCTGAGCATGCTCCTCTGGGAGTCCTCCTCTGAGCGTGCTCCTCTGGGAGTCCTCCTCTGAGCATGCTCCTCTGAGCGTGCTCCTCTGGGAGTCCTCCTCTGGGACTCCTCCTCTGGGAGTCCTCCTCTGGGAGTCCTCCTCTGAGCGTGCTCCTCTGGGAGTCCTCCTCTGAGCATGCTCCTCTGAGCGTGCTCCTCTGGGAGTCCTCCTCTGGGACTCCTCCTCTGGGAGTCCTCCTCTGAGCGTGCTCCTCTGGGAGTCCTCCTCTGGGAGTCCTCCTCTGGGTGTCCTCCTCTGAGCGTGCTCCTCTGGGAGTCCTCCTCTGGGAGTCCTCCTCTGAGCGTGCTCCTCTGGGAGTCCTCCTCTGGGAGTCCTCCTCTGAGCGTGCTCCTCTGGGAGTCCTCCTCTGGGAGTCCTCCTCTGGGAGTCCTCCTCTGAGCGTGCTCCTCTGGGAGTCCTCCTCTGGGAGTCCTCCTCTGGGAGTCCTCCTCTGAGCGTCCTCCTCTGGGAGTCCTCCTCTGGGAGTCCTCCTCTGGGAGTCCTCCTCTGGGCTCACTGTGTAAGTCCTCACGGGTTTTGAGAGCAGCCATTGCCACTCTGATAATTCGTGATTTCTAAACATCTGCCTCCCGATCGATCCACATTTATAGGTGATGAATGAGTAGCAGCCTTGTCATCTGTAAACTAAGTTACTATAGAGCTTTAAGCAAGGAAATCGAAAGGACACGTAAGACAGACACACAAACCAATAGATAGACAGATAGATGGACGGATGGATAGATAGACAGACAGACAGACAGACAGACAGACAGGATAGATAGATAGATAGATAGATAGATAGATAGATAGATAGATAGATAGATAGATAGATAGATAGATAGATAGATAGATAGATAGATAGATAGATAGATAGATAGATAGATAGATAGATAGATAGATAGATAGATAGATGATAGAGAGAGATGGTAGATAGATGGATAGATAGATAAAGATGATAGATAATAGACTGGATAGATAGATAATAGATTAGATAGATGATAGACAGACAGATAGATAGATAGATATTAGATAAGATAGATAATAGATTAGATAGAAAGAAAGATAATAGAACAGACAGACAGATCGATAGATGATAGATAGATAGATAAATAGATAGATAGATAGATGACAGATAATTACATCTCTCTATCTCAGTCATATGCAAAACATAGAAGCCAGGAATCAGTAAGCTCACACCTGTAGTCCTAGCTACTCAGGAGGTAGAGATCTGAGGATAAAGGATCGAGGTTTGAAGCCAGCCCAGGCAGGAAAATCTGTGAGACTCTTATTTCCAATTAACCACAAAAAAAAAAACCACAGCCAAAAGTGGAGGTATGGCTCAAGTGGTAGAGCACTAGCCTTGAGCAAAAAAGGCTCAGGAATAACACCCAGGCCCTGAGTTCAAGCCCCAGGACTGGCACTTTAAGAGAAAGAGAGGAGAGGAGAGGAGAGAGAGAAAGAGAGAGAGAGAAATGTAAATCAAACCAGCCAACAACTGGCTCAATTATGACTCAACACAGAGATCCAGTAACCAAGCCCTCCATCCTACTTGACTTCCAAAATGGCGGACACTGAAGTTCACCCAATGCATCAACTCTAGAGGTGACTGAGGGTGAAGCCTCTATCTCTCAAGCAAAGGAGACCAAAGTCCATTCTTGTCTCCTACTCCCTTCCTCCAGAACCTCTGGTCCAGGCCAACTGCTCATGCCTCAACTCATGCCCCTAGATTCATCCTCTGCCTCCTTTAAAAACCACTTCAACCCTTAAAGTCAGTGGATCTCCATAGTGTGTCTGTGTGTGTATGTGAGAGAGAGAGAGAGAGTCCTGGGTCTTGAACTCAGGGCCTGGGCGCTGTCCCTGAGCTCTGTTATTCAACGCTAATGCTCTACGACTTGAGCCACAGCTCCACTTTTAGCTCTTGGCTGGGTAATTGGAGATAACAGTTCTCACAGATTTTCCTGACCTAGCTGGCTTTGAACCACGATCCTCCCCGATCACAGCCTCCTGAGTAGCTGGGATGACAGGCGTGAGCCACCGGCACCCAGCAACGGATCCTTCAATGGACAAAACATTTTTACAGTGAGCATATGTTTTTGTGTATACAAATTTTCATGGGTTCCTAAAACAAATTCATTTCAACTTGTTCATTCAAACAATCCAGTAACATACCCATTTGACAGCCTACGTTCCAAAATTCTTGAGGATTAAAATTAGAAGAGTCTGCTCTTATGGCCTTGGGGTAGATTCTGGTAAGGAACTTCCCGGTGTGGAAAATAAACTCGTGGACTACAATAAAACAAAGAGGGGAAAAAAAGGGTAAACACGGAGAGAGATTTTAAATTAAATGAACTACTATTTCTGCATTTGATAGACTCCTACAACCGTTTCAGTCATGCTGATATGTATTACCTTTGCAACAAACAAACAAAAGATTAGTAAATCATGAAAATGAAAACAAACCCAATGTCTTTATGTTCAGGGTAAAAATTCACAATTGATTTAAAACATACTTTAGGGGCTGGGCAGGTGGCTCCATGGTAGAGCGCTTGCCTAGCATGCATGAAGCCCTGGGTTCAATTCCCCAGTACCACATACACAGAAAAAGCCGGAAGTGGTGCTGTGGCTCAAGTGGTAGAGTGCTAGCCTTGAGCTAAAGAAGCTCAGGAACAGCACCCAGGCCCTGAGTTCAAGCCCCAGGACTGGCAAAAACAAAAAACAAACAAACAAAACACGTACTTCTGTTAGACAAACATATGCACTGATAATTAACTTGGAAAATATTTTCTATGTTCTCCTTCATATCCAAATTGATTTCACTTCGATATGAACACATTCAAAATTCCCAAATAAAATGCATTCATTTCCAAAAACTCAAATCAAATCAAAAACCAAACTGACGTCTTTCTCTATTTTGTTTTTAACTTTCACCTTAGCACCAAAAATCACCGGATACCAAAGGGAACAATCTGAGACTAGCTAAATCAAGCTTTTGGACAGTACACAGGTTGGACTCAATCCCATTGGACGGTTCACAGATTGGAATTCATCTCAATGGACATTTCGCTACCCAACGTTTTCAGGTAAAGATTTAGATCCTTCCAATTCCAGCATCTTCCCTCCAAACACCACCTTCCTCTGAAATGTCTCTCTCGATATTTTTAATTGTCTCGAAGATCTTTCTCACTGAGATGACTTTGTGTTCACGGTAAAGTACACACGTGTACAAATTCATGTATGTGTAATCTGACTATATGCATTCTTCACATTTCTACTTGTCTTCCCTCTAAGGTACTTGACTTTAGAAATTAATTAACCCTCTCCCTTCGCTAGTTGATATTTAATGAAAGTCTTCAAGACAAATTTCATATTGGCCAGAGATTTGTTTTTTCCTCTTTCATTAAACAGATCCACTCTATTTTATTATTTTATTTTATTTTTGTCAGTCTTGGGCCTTGAACTCATGACCTGGGCGCTATTCCTGAACTCCCTTTTACTCAAGGCTAACACTCTACCACTTGAGCCACAGCTCCACGTCTGGCTTTTTCTGTGATTTACTGGAGATGAGAGTCCCCACAGATTTTCCTGCCTGGGCTGGCTTTGAACCTCAATCCTCAGATCTTGGCCTCCTGAGTAGCTAGGATGACAGGTGTGAGCCACCAGTGCCCAGCTTCCGTTTTACTTTTTCTTTAACTTTGTTTCATTTATTTTTGCTTTGCTTTGTTTTGCCCATTTTGCTGGGGTTTGAATCCAGGGCATCTCTCCTTGCTGGTCTGGTGCTCTCCCACGTGAACCACGCCTCCAGTCCTCCACCCACGGCCTCTACTACAATACACAATCACGGCAGAAAGGCTTACTAAGTGCCAATTCTTCTCTCATGGCAATAAACGGGGTTCATCTCCTCTTCCACCCTAAACACAAATTCTTTAGGTAGTAATAGTAAATTTCCTACAATCACACTTCACCAGGGCTTCTTTTCAGAAAGGTACATGAAGTAACACGATTATTTCCAAGTCTCACACGTGAAAATGAGTGTAGATTTATCATCTTCCTTTCTCTGGGGCTAAAGGACTATCTTGAGGCAAAAAAAAACATACTGTTCTGAGCCTTCACATTTCCTATCTAAAGAGTAACATCTGGGCATTCCCTAATATTTAGGCCCTAAAACGAGAGCTGTGATTTTCTCCCGCTCATCCATTGAAATTACACAGGATCCCTTACTGCAAATGTAGTTCACCAGGCCTTGGTTTGAGAAACGTTGGGGAAATCAAATGAAAAAGAGAAGAATTTTCTGTTTTTCAAAGCACCTATAATCTCATGACTCAATTAAGAACCATTCTTCCCCTGTTGGCTACGGGTCTTTTTTTTTTTTCCTATCTATATGCTAATTTGGGAGGAAGAGAAAAACAATTCATATTTTAATTCCTTCGTTACCACCTGCCATTTGGCTTTATACAGTGGCAGGGATCTCATGGTTTTAATGATCTATACAACAGGTGCTGCTGTAAGCTTTGGCCAGCATCACTGATGATGTACTGTTAGCTTTGGATGTCATTAAAAAAGGCTTTCTACTCTAGCCATAACAGCTCCACATGGGCCTTTTTTCCAAAAGGGAGGCTGAGTAGATTCTAACTACTTTCAGTAGGCTCAAAGGACTAGTCCTCACCACCCACAAAATCTACCCCAGAAGTCCAAGGGATGTCAGGCCAGCTGCTAAAGCCGATCAGTCCAACTCCCGTGGTCACACCCTAGAGTAAGAAAGACATAGAATCTCGCCAGACACCCGTAGCACACGCCTGTAATCCCAGCTTGCTCAAGAGGCTGAGATCGGAGGATCAAGTCAACCCAGGAAGAAAAGTCTGTGAGACTCTTATCTTCAACGAACTGGCAAAAAGCTGGATGTGGAGGTGGTGTGGCTCAAGTGGTAGAGCACCAGTCTTGAGGGGCAAAGCTAAGCAAGAGCAAATAGGACGTGGGTGAACACACACTGGGACTTGAGCTCAAGGCCTGGGCACCATCCTTGAGCTTTTCCTCTTGAATCTAGCACTTTATCACTTTGAGCCACAGCGCCACTTCTGGTTTCCATTGGAGATCAGAGTCTCACGGACTTCCCTGCCCAGGCTGGCTTTGAACCGCGATCCTCAGAGCTCAGCCTTAAAGCTGGGCTCTAAAGACAGCAGCCATCAGCAATCTCCTCCTACTTTTAAAAAAGAATGAATGACCAAGTCCACGTGTCTTGCTCCTGGTGTACCTAAACCTTACAGTCCTGCTTCTCTTCCTTCCTCTCTCCACCTGCTCACCGCCACCATCTCTACCACAAGGTGCCCACTTAACGCCCTAGGTCAAAATGCCACGACTTGAGGCCCAGTCGGAGGCTCAGGCAGGAGGATTGCAAATGGAGGCTGGCCAGCACTGCCTCAAACAAATTTGAAAAAGGGGGAGTGGATCATTGGGGACATGGAATAATCCATCCTCCTCCAAGTTATCCCCAGTAAGCTGAGATCTCGCAAGAGACGGATCTTATACCCACTCATAGCTCCTGCTGTTATACCTTAATAACTCAGCACGGGCTGGAACCAACTCAAACGCACCCGTGCTCCGTTCCTGCTCCCAGGAGCGTTTACCTTTCAGCTTGGAAAACTTCCTGGCCTGGGACTCGCTCAGGGAGGTGCCTTCGTTGAACTGCTGGTACAGCCTGGCGTGGTGGAAGCTTCGGAACCTCTCGGCTTTGGTGTAAATGACGAGATCAGATAAGGCCAGAGCGATTTTCACCTTCCTGGTCTGGAGACAAAACGCAGCCATGTCACCCTGAGCCGTTACACATTTCCTGCTTGCAGTAAAGGGGGTCAGGTGGGGGGGGAGGGGAAAAGGGGTGGGGGGGAGGGGGGGAGGGTGGGGGGGAGGGAATGGAAGACTAAACTTCCCAGCAAACCTGTTTACACAAATCTCAGTCTTTTCATAAGGCTCAGCGCCACAAAATTAGGCAGAGAAAGTCCAGATGATTTTTATAACCATCATCTTTAACAAGCAATGTTGGTAGAGCTCATCTTAAACTAATATGAATTCTGCATAAAAATTAATACAATTGCACATCGTAATTACGTATCATATATAACATACATCTACATTTATATCATATATAATAATTACATGTGATATATTTTATTACTTATATTCAATATATTATATATAATAATATATACGTGTAGAATATGGAATACATAATATATATAATATTAGCTAATACATTAAATGATTATATATTATAATATGTAATCATATAGGATATCTTATATCTAGGCTATGATATATGATACGATATATTATATATAAATAATATGATACAATATATTATATGTAAATAGTATTATAGGGCTGGGAAGGTGGCTCAGTGGTAGAGTGTTTGCCTAGCATGCATGAAGTCCTGGGTTCGACTCCTCAGTATCTCATGAACAGAAAAAGTCAGAAGTGGAGCTGTGACTCAAGGGGTAGAATGCTAGTCTTGAGCAAAAGAAGCTCAGAGACAGTGCCCAGGCCCTGAGTTCAAGACCCAGGCCTGGCTAAATAAATAAATAATATATATAATTATATAATATGTAATCACATGTTAGATACTAGAGAATCGATGTTCTACACAGGCCTACACAGACACAACAGCTCTAATAATGATCAACTAGTGTCGAAAAACTACTTAGGAAGAGCTACCCTAGGAGAAGAGATGGCCTGCAATTTGTTTTTCTTAAAGGTGAGTTTTGGTGATCGATTTGAGCTTTATTAAGAAAGAAAAAGATTCTACGTCCTCGGATTTTTTTTAAAAATGAGTTTTGTTGGTAGATTCGCGCTTTCATAAGGAGGAAGGAGGTTCCGGTGTCTCAGTGATCCCGGCTCTCCACCAATAAGAGTCAGGAAAAAAATCTCCCGGGCCTTGGCAAGTTCGAGACCAACCACCTCACCTTCTTCTTCTTGAAAAAGCCGGAAGTGAAGGTCTTCAGGAGCTCAGACTCCTTTTCCGGAGACTCTTGTGCTTCCGGGTCCCTCACTTCCTCCTCTTCTTCCTCTTGATCTCCCACTTCCTCTTCATACTCCTCCACCTTTCCGTGTTTGTCTGAACCTAACCTTGCCCGGGTCTCCATTAGCGTTCCGATTTTCTTGTTCTTAATTAATATCTTGAATTTCAAGGCCTGGAAGGACAAACGGACAGAGAGCGTTCGCTCCCACCATCACGGGGGAGTTTGCGTGGAACAGACATCGGCCTTCTCTTCTTGTTCTCCTTGAATTTGTTTTTGCCAGGCACCAGTGGCTCACGCCTGTCATCCCAGCCACTCAGGAGGCTGGAGGTCTGAGGATCGTGGTTCAAGGCCAGCCTGGGGCAGGAAAGTTCATGAGGCTCTGATCTCCAATGAACCACTCTAAAAGCTGGAAGTGGTGTTGTGGCTCAAGTGGTAGAGCACCAGCCTTGAGCCAAAGAGCTCAATGACAGCGCCCAGGCCCTGAGTTCAAGACCCAGGACACACACACACACACACACAAATTAATTAAAATAAAAGTTTTTTTTATGGTTAAGCAGTTGTACAAAGGGGTTTTGATCCAACATGGCGGTGTGTGAGCACAATGCATCTTGAGCCACACCGCCTCTTCCCTCCTTCCCCCAGTCTCAACCCCCCCTTACCCCTCCCCTACAGGCCCAGGGGACTCCACGTTCTTGGGGACAGGGAATACAAAGGCTGAATTCTCCCTCCCTCCCTCCCTCCACCCACCCTCGCTCTTCCCCCCCTCCCTATACACAACCCACCTTCCTGGTATTCCTCTTTGATCAACTCTAAGTTAGTTGTTGGAAGGACTTACACCATTGGGATCCTGCATTTCAGTGAACACGTGTGTGTATGTGTGCACCCGTCCATGTTTATAAATTGACTCTAACTTCTACACACTTGAGCAAACCTGACCAGTGGAATTCAAACCCCTCTACGATGCCTCCTTCCGGATAATACCTAAATAATCAATCAATCAATGCTAAGCATTGGTCTTTTTTTTTCTTTTTCTTTTTTTTTTTTTTGCCAGTCCTGGTTCTTGAACTCTGGGTCTGGGCACTTCTTTTGTTCAAGGCTGGTGCTCTACCACTTGACCCACAGCTCCACTTCCGGCTTTTTCTGTGTCTAGGGTACTGAGGAATCGAACCCAGGGCTTCCTGCATGCAAGGCGAGCGCTCCACCACTGAACCACCTGCCCAGACCCCTGCCTTGGTCTTTAGCCTTGTATCTAAGACTTCAATTATAGTGATGTATTTGTGGGTTCTCTCCCCCCCCTTTCCCTCCCTCTCCCTCTCTTTCCCTTCCCTCTCCCTTCCCCCACCTCTCTCTCTCTGTCTCTGTCTCTCTCTCTCTGTCTGTCTCTGTCTCTGTCTCTGTCTCTCTCTCTCTCTCTGAGCCTCTCAAACCACAGATCACCTACCTCAGGAGACGGCAGGCAGTCTGGGAATTCATCCAGCATGTCGGACAGTAGCATGTCCCCAAATGTGTTCTGCAAGATATCAGCCATTATTTCTTGCTGCGCAGGGGAGCAGTGGTTTTCCAGCGACAGCACCACGGGATAATCGGATGTCTGCGGGGAATTAACCAGTCGGCTCATTATCCGAATTTTAAAGTAATTTCCATCTAATTCATAGAAGCATTTTATTAATTTACTTACTTACTTATTTGTCGGTCGTGGGACTTGAACTCAGGGCCTGGGCGCTGTCCCTGAGCTCTTTCACTCAAGGCTGGGGCTCTACCACTTGAGCCACAGCGCCACTTGGGTTTTCTGGTAATTCATGGGAGATCAGAGTCTCACAGACTTTCTCACCCAGGCTGGCTTTGAACCACAATCCTCTAGATCTCAGCCTCCTGAGTAGCTAGGATGACAGGCGGGAGCCACCGGCTCTCAGCAAGCATTGCATCGTAACAACACTTCTGACTCTCGTTACCTTGGCCACATAACTATTCTTTAAACTGGACAATGTGTAGGTGTGTAAAACAGGGCCTGATTTAATCTGTGCATTAGGAAAAAGTAGTCCTATTTTCACTGAAAGTCCAAGAAAAAATCTGAAGCGCTATCAGCGAATGCTTGGCTCATTACATTATGTCATGTACATACAAAGAAATAATATAGATCTGTTAATAAGACAGACAGACAGACAGACAGACAGACAGACAGATAGATAGATAGATAGATAGAGTCTGGTACCAATGGCTCACGCCTGTCATCCCAGCTCCTCAGGAGGCTGAGATCTGAGGATCATGATTTAAAGCCAGCCCAGGCAGGAAAGTCCGTGAGACTCTGATCTCCCAGGAACCACCAGAAAACCAGACATGGCGCTGTGGCTCAAGTGGTAGAGCACCAGCCTTGAGTGAAAGAGCTCAGGGACGGCGCCCAGGCCCTGAGTTCAAGCCCCAGGACTGATAGTAAAAAAAAAATCATCACCACCACCACCACCACCACCATCATCATCATCCTTGATTGCGTTTCTTGCCATGGGAGTGGATCAGTTCACGTGCGGTCCACCCTGCTGAAGTTCACGGCCACGCCAGTTCACCTACCATGAAGGCGTACTTGTTGATGGCCTGGATGACGGTCTTGAACAGCAGCTTGCTGGTCAGCGTGTAGCCGTGGTAGACAATGGGCTCATTCTGGGCTCCGTCCCAGCAGTCAATCTCCAGACACCGGCAGCCCTTCACCAGAGCACTGGGGAGAGGAGCAATACCATCGGCCATCCAACCGCACACAACCACTACCCCAGGCCTGTGCCTTTCTAGGCCCTGGTCCTCTCCTGGCTTTGATGGCTAAACTAGCTGGCTTCAGGACAATAGCATTCAAAGAAGATAATAGCCAGCCACCCTGGAGGTTGGAGGTTAGGAGGATCACAGTGTGAGGCCAGCTTGGGTGAAAAAAAAAAATGTTTACAAGTTAATGAGACCCCATCTCAAGAAAGAAAGTGGGTGTGGTGGGAGGTGCCTGGAATCCCGGCTATGCAGGCAGAGGACTAGGCTCTCAGGCTGTGGTCCAGAGCAGAAATAGCAGACCCTACGTAACTCAAAGGCAAAGGAGAGAGAAAGACAGAGACAGAGAGAAAAAGAGAGACAGAGACAAAGAGGCAGAGTGAAATGAGACACTGTCGTAGCCATCCTAGAACAAAATAAACTAGCCCAGTTTGATCTGGCTCTTCCTTGGGTATTTAGGAGTGTAGAAAACACAGTATAAAAGGGTTAAAGGAGAGGAAAATTGAGCCAGGTGCCAGCCCTCACGCCTGTCATCCTGGCTACTCTGGAGGCTGAGATCTGAGGATCAGGACAGCAAAGTCCCTGGAGACTCTCATCTCCAGGGAACCACTAAAAAACCCCGGAAGTAGCGCTGTGACTCAAGTGGTAGAGCACCAGCCTTGAGCAAAAGCAGCTCAGGGATGGCGCCCATGCCCCAAGTTCAAGATCCACATCTGAAAATTGATTGATGAATTAATTTTGACATAACACATACACATAATAAAATAAATGTAAATACCTTACATATCCCCAGAGATCACTGGGTCCTACTAATTGATCAGAGATCAAGTAGGTATTGTGCGAAGATGAAATAAAATAATCGCTCAGTGGCAGAGTCATATCTTGGTACACTTTTCTGCATTCCTCTTTGAAGAGCAAGCATTCGGAAGAACACATGTATCTTATAAATCCTTCAAATGACATCTGCCGCACTCCCTTAACTATAAAAACAACAACAACAGCAATAATAATAATGCATGGAGAGACTCCGTTTTCTCGTAGAGATGTGGAAGCAAAGTGTATTTATTTCCCAACTATTCGTTGAAAACAGGCCCAGCGTTTCTTCAGAAACTCCATTTTTAGTGAATCCTGTTAAGTCTTTGCATATCGACATTTAAGAGTGGATCATTAGCCGGGCACCGGTGGCTCACACCTGTCATCCCAGCTACTCAGGAGGCTGAGATCTGAGGATCGTGGTTTAAAGCCAGCCCGGGCAGGAAAGTCTGTGAGACTCTGATCTCCAAGGAACCACCAAAAAGTCATAAGGGGAGGTATGGTTCAAGTGGCAGAGCACCAACCAAGGCCCTAGGTTCAAACCTCCATACTAGCAAAAACAAAGCAAAACAAAAAGCTGAGGCAAATGTTGACTTCAGACAAAAGTGATCCTGGGTAAAGAATGGAAGCAGATATTTAGACAAAGATGGATTGCGAAAAGATTAAGCTGCTCCCATTAGGATTATTGGTAAAAGCAAAAGAAATGGGAAGGAGTCGGGTACCAGTGGCTCACACCTGTAATCCCAGCTACTCAGGAGGCTGAGATCTAAGGATCATGGTTCAAAGCCAGCCCAGGCAGAAAAGGCTATGAGACTCTGATCTTTAATAAACCACTCAGAAAACCAGAAGTGGCGCTGTGGCTTAAGTGGTAGAGCGCCAGCCTTGAGCTGAAGAGCTGAGGGACAGCGCCCAGGCCCAGAGTTCAGGCCCCACGACTGGACCCAAAAGAAAAAATAATAGTAATAATGAAAGCTAGAAGAAAATGTGTTACACAATGTTTACAAGTTCACAACCTATTTCAAAACTTGTGCAGGCTTCGGAAGGTTGAGATATACAGGGAAAATGGCTTGCATTAATTTATTCTTTTTTTTTCCCTTGGGCAATTAGCACTCAAGGGCTTGGGGGACTTTTGCACTGTTGAATAATTAATACCTTAAGTAATCGAATAGAAAACAAACGTCTTGCCTGTCCTTACAGAACAGTATATTGAGATATGGGTTCATCTCAAGGATTTGAAGGGGGAAAAATATTCTCACTTGGCCTACCATCACCTACCAGTCTGGAAAACAAAACATAATGAGATGCATGTGATATTTAATCTTTGCTCCTAGCCAAGCACTGTTGGCTCATGCTTGTCATCCCAGCTACTCAGGAGGCTGAGATCTGAGGATCATGGTTCAAGGCCAGACCCAGGAGGAAAGTTTGTGAGACTCGTAACTCCAATGAATCACCATGATTCAAGTGGTAGAGCACCAGCCTTGAGCAAAATAGATAAGCAAGAACATGACACATTGAGTTCAAGTTCTGTTACAATATTGATAAGTCAGTAATGATTGGCAATGAAATGCAAGGTGTCACATGAGTGGATTGTGTAACATGATTGTTGAAGTGCAAACCCATCCCAATGAACTTCTATATCTTTTTAATATACCACGTAGAGTAGCAGGAACAAGGTCATTTCTTTTTCTGTAATATTCACTGGCATATTGCTACTGTAAGTGTTCTTTAAACTGGTTGCAAAGACAAAAAAGAGCTTATGAGCCTCAGCATACATCAACCCAGTACTTCCTTAGAGAAAGTCTAGCTATGAAAAAGTCAGCTGGGGGCTGGGCAGGTGGCTCAGTGATAGAGCGCTCGCCTTGCATGCATGAGGTCGTGGGTTCGATTCCTCAGTACCACATAAGCAGAAAAAGCCAGAAGTGGAGCTGTGGCTCAAGTGGTAGGGCCCTAGCCTTGAGCTGAAGAGCTGAGGGACAGCGCCCAGGCCCAGAGTTTAGGTCCCATGACCGACCCAAAAAAAGAAAAGAAAAGAAAAAGTCAGCTGAAGTCAGTACCAGTGGCTCACGCCTGTAACCCCAGCTACTCAGGAGGCTGAGATCTGAGGATTGAGGTTCAAGGCCAGCCCAGACAGGGAAGTCCATGAGACTTTTATATCCAATAAACTACTCAGAACAAAGTTACTGTGATTCAAGTGGTAGAGTGCTAGCCTTGAGCACAAAGAGGCTCAGGGACAGAACCCAGGACCTGAGTTCAAGCCCCAGGACTCACAGACACACACACAAAATGTCAGCTGATCTTCTTAGGTTTGCTTTGTTAATATAATGACTTTATATTCTTGCTGCAAGCCTACAACACAATACTCCCTAAAAAAGATAGAGACAGGTAGGTAGATATGTGTGTGTGTCTGTCTGTCTGTCTGTCTGTCTGTCTGTGTGTCTGTGTGTATTATATATACATATATATAATATTGTTAAAATATGTATATGTATATATGTATACGTGTGTAAATGATGCATATAAAATATATGTGTATATGAAATAAACATACATTATATATACATTCTATAAGACACCAGAATAAAACTGTATGTTGTTCCAGAAGTTGACTCAGCACTTGAATTTGACAAACATCATGTGGGAGAACACTTCACATAAAAACTCTGATAAATTCAGAAGAAAAAGAAAAGAAAGAAGACAATGCAAAGAAGAGCATGCAGACAGACCTTCCTCAATGGGCTCATACTTCTGAATGAGCAGAGAGGGTTGAGTTCCGTTCATCCCGTAGGTGTACTGCTCCTGTGTCAGAAATTTCACCAGGCTGTGTTCAGAGAGGATTTTCCGGTTCTCAGAATACGTGTTGAAAATCTCCATGATCTCTTCTCTGTGTGCAACCATGCGGTAAATGGCTCTGAATTCCTCGATGGTGATCCTTCCCTTCCCCTGTCTGTCGTTATCCTACTAAAGAGAAATGAATGGCTGGTGGGTTCCTGTCGTGAGGATCCAACATTCACTTGGCGAATGTGACTCCTGTCGTGGACAGCAATTCTTGAAACTTAGATTCCATTCTTATGAATGGAATAATAAATAAATAAGTAAACAAACAAATAAAGAAATACAGAACTACCCTATGAACCAGCAATTCCACTCTTGGGCACATACCCATCCCCAAAAAATCACAAATCAGGATTCAGTAAAACCACCAACACAACCATATTCATTGCTGCACTATTCACCATAGCCAAGACACGGAATCAGCTCAGATGCCTCTCAGGGGCCAAATGGATGAAGACAATGTGGTACATAGATACACAATGGGATTTTACTCACGCTTTCTTAACAATGATATTACATCAGGGCTGGGAAGGTGGCTCAGTGGTGGAGCGCTTGCCTCACATGCATGAGGCCCTGGGTTCGATTCCTCAGCACCACATAAGCAGAAAAAAACCAGAAGTGGAGCTGTGGCTCAAATGGTAGGGCGCTAACCTTGAGCTGAAGAGCTGAGGGTCAGCGCCCAGGCCCAGAGTTCAGTCCCCATGTCCAAAAAAACAAAAGAATGATATCACATCATTTTCAAAGAAATGGATAGATCTAGAAAGAAAATTATGTAACTCAGGCCTTAGAGAGACAAAAGACACACTTTCTGTCTCATCAGTGAAAGTGAGATCTAATCTACAGATATATAAGCAAACATACAGGGGACTGCATTCATGGGTACACACATCCATTAACCAAAGTACAGGACCGGCAGGGGGAAATTTAAACAATTCCTTAGGGGAAAAAAATGAACTCCTAATCCAATGAAATGAATGCGAGGAAACTGGTACTTGAAGAGAAAAGAGAAGTAAGGGGAGGGGGGAGACAAAGGAAGAGAGGAAGGGAGGAGAATACAGGCATAATATTCGATTCATATCCCACACAGCCAGGAAAACTGAGGGGACAGGGGTTGGGAGGGATGAGGGACAATGCTGGAAGGGGCTACATTGATGAAGAAGTATTACACTCATAAACTGACCCGTTGAATGGCCATCACTTTGTACAATGACTTCAAGAGAACAAAAACAGAGAAAGTGAAATGTAGCCAATTAAAGATAGTAAAATTTGCTGAGTGCCACCTGTCTGCCTCCCGCCTGCCATCCCAGCGACTCAGGAGGCTGAGATCTGAGGATCACGGTTCAAAGCCAGCCTGGGCAGGAAAGTCCGTGAGACTCTGATCTCCAGTAAACCACCAGAAAACCAGAAGTGGCGTAATAGATATGTTATTATACATATTATTAATATATATGTATCCACAGTTCATCTTAGCACCCTCTAAGTTCTCGCCATGTGGATTTTAAATGGAACTCCCGTATTTAATTCCTTCTGTCCATCAGGGACTAATTTCCAGTATATCTTTTCTAGAAAGAGTATTCGAGGTGGTTACAAACAATCACTTACATTAGATTAATTTCATCTCACCTTAAAAATTTGTCTCATGTGACTCTCATTACACTGAAAGTCTAGTTTTTCCAGTAACTTCTGCGTTTTCACTAAGTCAATTTTGCCACCTCGGAATTCTTCCTGAATCTTTGACAAAAACCACGTAAGAGGCACAATAAGAAGGGGAAAAAAAGTTAAGGAAATTCTTCAGGAAAGCCACAGAGAAGCTGCCATTCTTAAACATCTAGTTCATTCTTCCGGCCTACTGTATTTTATTTTTAATTTTAAAGGAGAAGGTGATTTTATAATAAATAACATTGAAAACAAGATCATAACTCTACTCCAATAAAGATAGGGAAGGCCACGTTGTACATGCCTAACACCCAAGAAAGAATGAAAATTAAAACTGGCGCTCTACCACTTGAGCCACAGCACCACTTCCGGTTTTCTGGTGGTTCATAGGAGATGAGAGTCTCACAGACTTTCCTGCCTGGGCTGGCCTTGAACCACGATCCTCAGATCTCAGCCTCCTGAGTAGCTGGGATGTCAGGCGTGAGCCACTGACACCAGCTGGGGAAATACATTGAAACATGATTACAGTGTGGTGAATGACACATGAAATTCTAGATGTCAAGCTTTTACACTTTACCCTACCTGCTCCAAGAAGGTGGAAAAATCGAGAATCTTCTAGAAGGTAGAAACATTAAATAAGTTTATAATACAGATGCACCTGCACTGTCCTGGTACTGGTGGCTCCTGCCTGTCACCCCAAGCTACTCAGGAGGCTGAGATCTGAGGATCTTGGTTCAAAGCCAGACCCGAGCAGGAAAATCTGAACCTTACTTCCAATTAACGACTCAAAAAGCCAGAAGTGGTGCTGTGGTTCAAGTGGTAGAGCGCTAGCCTTGTGTGAAAATGCTCAGTGTCAGCCTCCGGGCCATGAGTTCAAGGCCCAGGACTGGGGGAGGGCGGGTGGGGGGGGGGAGAATCTAACTCAATTTTCTGTTGTTAGAAGCCGATTCCCACAATGGCTACAAGGTCATGATAAAGATTTGATATTCTAAAGAGAAAAAAACAAGATAACTCAGGGCAGATGTGGAAGAAAAGTCAATGAGAGAGAGAGAGACAGACAGACAGACAGAGAGGGAAGGAGGGAGGGAGGGAGGGAGGCCGGGAGGGAGGGAGGGAGGGACAGAGAGAGTTCACTTCAGGACTGGTTAAGGGAGATCAGAGAGGGTCTCAGAGCCAGGAGAAAGGAGAGACAGACAGACAGACAGACAGACAGACTGACAGACAAACAGAAGGAGCTTGGGTAGGGATATCTGGCTTCGAACTTCTCGTGATTCCGCTGGATCAAAAGGTGTTGTGGCAGAATCCCAACAGAGCCAATTCTGTCTCTTTGTAGAAAAGAACTTTCTTGAGATCCGTTAGCCGTCTCCATCGCTTTTCTTTGTCTGGGAAGAAAGCAGACAAGTCCAAGGGGTTTTGTGGCCTCAGCAGCAGTGATACTTACTAGATACCGTGTCGGACGTGAACTTTATGGGCTGGGCAGGTGGCTCTGGGGTAGAGCGCTCGCCTAGCACGCATGAAGCCCTGGGTTCGATTCCTCAGTGCCACATAAGCAGAAAAAGCCAGAAGTGGCGCTGTGGCTCAAGTGGTAGAGCGCCAGCCTCGAGCAGAAGACGATCAGGGGCAGTGAACTTTACAACTTGGGTGGGGGGGGTAGGGAGTAGGGGGAGAAATAGGAGAAAATGAGGGAAAAGAAATGTACTCATGACCTGACTGATGTAACTGTGGCCCCTCTGTACCCCACCTCTACAATAAAATTAAAATTAAAAAATAAGATAAAACTACCACCTAACAGGTGCACCCTTTATGAGCTTCTCCCTACTCCCATTTTTTTCACTTCTTGATTCTCTTTTGCTCATTTGCAAATGCTCATTGTCACCTTATTGTAAATATGTTATCTATTCATATATAATATATGTTCTGTGTATTTCTATATAACGTCTATGTTATATATTATTTTGCATTTTTTATTATTGTAAAGATGATGTACAGCAGGATTAAAGTCACAAAAGTCAGGTAGAGAGTACAATTCTCTTTTTCTTTTCTTTTCTTTTTCTTTGCTGGCCCTGGAGCTTGAACTCAGAGCCTGGGCACTGTTCAGGGCTGGCGCTCTACCACTTTGAACCACTGCTTCACTTCTGCTTTTCTGGTGGTTCATTGGACATAAGAGTCTCATGGACTTTCCTGCCCAGGCTGGCTTTGGACTTCGATCCTCAGATCTCAGCCTCCTGAGTAGCTGGGATGACAGACATGAGCCACCAGTGTCCTGAGAGAGCATTTCTTTGGGGACCCTGTCCCCCCTTCCCTCGCTCTCTCCCCCAGTTTTTCCCTCCCATCCCCACCCACCAGTGGTAGAGTTCATTCTCCACCTGGTGTCCCATGAGGACCATGGCTGCCTTGGTTTCCCCCTCTGTCCCCCCATTTCTGTGTCCCCCTCACCCTCCCAGAGACAGAGAAACCCACCCACAAGACTAAAGGAAAAGAAAAGAAAAACAGCCACAAAGAAAAAAACCTCTTGTTTCTATTTCCTAAGTTCATGGTGATAAATATTGTTTTGTATGACCAGAGGCATATAGCTAATACATCTTAGTGATCCTCTCCATATGTAATATATATAATATCATAGATAGACACACCGACAGGCAGGCAGACAGACAGATAGATGAATATGGATAGATAGGTAGGTAGATAGATAGATGAACAGGTAGATGGACAAACAGACAAATCAAATAATAGATAGATTATAGATGAACTCTTCAGACCTTCTGTCCATCAAAATATAGGCCTAGTAGTGGATCGGAGAAGCTATGGTAAAGACTGGCTTTAAGACTAGAAACTCTGAACTATTCTCTACATTTCCAAGAACACACAACACCAGAGAGGAGAGTTGGGGGGGAGGAGAGGAGAAAAACACACCCCTTTTTGAAAAGAAGTCCTGGTCTAGGAGACGAAGTTCTTCAGATTCTTCAAGCTGGGCCCATCCTGTTGTCTGAACACCCCTTAACTTAGATGTCTGCCATTTTCCTCCTTTTTTTTTTGTCTTTTCTTTTCTTTTCTTTTCTTTTTTCTTTTCCCCTTTGTCTGGAACTCCATTGTGATCTCAGTGAGAGTTCCACATTCCTTCCAGAGAGAAGTTCCTTTGTGAGTTCAGCAAGCAGCCCCTACCCCCCTCAGAACCCACCGAGACCTCTCCCCCCACTCCCTACACACACACACACACACACACACACACACACACATACACACACCCCTGAACCCCACATTGGCATCTTCATGGTTGACGATCGTCATCATCTTCACCTTGAATGATCAACACCTTGGTGGAGGGGGAGGGAAATCAGAAAAGCCAAAGAAGAAGTGGGGGGGGGGGGGTAGAAGTCGAGTGTCATGGTATGCGGTCCCTGAATCCTCTCGCTTCCAGAAGCTTCTGCCCCTCCTGGCCTTCGGCAGATCATGTCCCTTAGCATCCTGAGTCGGAAGGAGAAGGAGAAGGCCATTCGCAGGCTGCTGGTCCAGGTGCCCCCCGGAGAGTTCGTCAACGCCTTTGATGACCTCTGCCTGCTGATCCGGGATGAGAAGCTCATGCACCATCAGGGAGAATGCGCGGGCCACCTGCACTGCCAGAAATATTCTGTACCCCTGTGCATCGACGGGAACCCGGTCATCCTCTCACATCACAACCTCATGGGCGATCGCTTCTTCGACTACCAGAGCAAGCTGTCCTTCAAGTACGACCTGCTGCAGAACCAGCTCAGGGACATCCAAAGCCACGGGATCCTTCGCAATGAGGTCGAATACCTGAGGAACGTGGTCCTGTGTGCCCTGAAACTCTACGTCAACGACCATTACCCAGCAGGCAGCTGTAACGTCCTAAGGAAGACCATCCACCAGAAGGAGTTCCTGATCGCCTGCATTGAAGACCACAGCTACAACTCCGGGGCTTTCTGGAACGGTCTGTGGAAATCCAAATGGATCTTCCAGGTTAATCCCTTTCTCACCCAGATCACCGGGAGGGTCTTCGTGCAAGCTCACTTCTTCAAGGGGGTCAACCTGCACCTGCAGCTCTCCAAGGATCTCAAGGAGAGCGTGGAAGTGGTGAACCAGGCCCAGCTGGCGCTCAGTTTTGCCCGGCTGGTGGAAGAGCAGGAAAATCAGTTCCAGGCTGCCGTCCTGGAGGAGCTGCAGGAATTATCCAGGCAGGCCCTGAGGGGCATTCTCCGCAGGGACCTTCCTGTGACCCGCACGCTCATCGATTGGCAGAGGATCCTGGCAGACCTGCACCTGGTCATGTACCCCAAGCTGGGCTACGTCATTTATTCCCGAAGTGTGCTGTGTAACTGGATCATATAATGAAGTCTGCCTGGCTATGCTCTACGCCTGTCTGGCTTGTGTTTCTTGGGGAGGAGGCGTTACCCAGGGTTAGGGAGTAGTGGTTTTACTTAGGTCGTATTTACCAGGTAGTATTTCTTTAAAGATAGGGAAGGGGGAAAAGAAGAGTAACATTACGTACATATGATCAAGTTAGATGTTCGTAAAAGCTGGGGTGTGAGGAGGAATATGGGTTCTAAATTTGCCTTAGGGTATTTTAGAATGTAAAATACTTGCCAGGCATCAGTGGCTCCCAGGCATCAGTCATCCCAGCTCCTCAGGAGGCTGAGAGCAGAGGATCACGGTTCAAAGCCAGCCCAGACAGGAAAGGCCGTGAGACTCTCATCTCCAATGAAGCACCAGAAAACCACAAGTGGCGCTGTGGCTCAAGTGGTAGAGCACCAGCCTTGAGTGAAAGAGCTCAGGGACAGTGCCCAGGCCCTGAGTTCAAGACCCAAAACTGACCACAATATATATATATATATATATATATATATATATATATATATATATGTATATATATAATACTTTACTATTAAAATACGTTGGAGTAGAAAATGCTTTTACATAAATTCTATACTATTTCAAGATAGAAAATACCTTATATATAGCCCGGCGAAGGTGGCTCTCGCCTGTAATCCCAGCTACTCAAGAGGCTGAGATCTGAGGATCGCGGTTCAAAGCCATCCCAGGCAGGAAAGTCCGTGAGACTCTTATCTCCAATAAACCACTGGAAAACCACAAGTGGCGCTGTGGCTCAAGTGGTAGAGTGCTGGTCTCGAGCTGAAGAGCACAGGGACAGTGCCCAGGCCCAGAGTTCAAGCCCCATGACCAACAAAAATAAGATACCTTATATATATTTTATATGAAATATCTTTTTATCATTATACTGTATCATCTATACTGTATCTTATCTATTATCATTATACTGTATCTTATCTATTTTGTTATATTTATATTTCACAAGAAATATCTTTTATTTGTACTGCATTTTAGTGTATAATATATATTTTATTGGGGCTGGGCAGGTGGCTCAGTGGTAGAGTGCTTGCCTCGCATGCATGAGGCCCTGGATTCAATTTCTCAGCACCATGTAAGCAGAAAAAGCCAGAAGGGACGTTGTGGCTCAAGTGGTAGAGCACCAGCATTGAGCTGAAGAGCTGAGAGACAGCGCCCAGGCCCAGAGTTCAAGCCCCACACGACTAACAAAAAAAATTTTTTTATTTACATGAAATATATTTTATAACTACGCCAAAGTGTTTCAAGCACTAAAATACTTATGATACTGCAGAAATACTGAATAAGTAGTGGCCAGGATTAAGGGTGTGTGTGTGTGTGTGTGTGACAATCCTGGGACTTGAACTCAGGGCCTGGACACTGTCCCTGAGCTTTTATACTCCATGCTTATGCTCTACCACTTGAGCCACAGATCTGCTTCTGGCTTTGTTTTAGTAGTAGTTTCTTAGAGTTAAGAGTCTCGGGGCCTTTCTTGCCCAGGCTGGCTTTGAACAGCAATCCTCACACATCATCCTGCTGAATAGCTGGGATTAATAGGGGTGGCATGTCTTTTAATAAAGCCTTTGTGCACAATGTCGTTTTGCTGCTGCTGTTTTAATCATCCATCTGGTTCTAACTTTATTCACATTTTCTGCAGAAGAACCTAAGGCTTCCCGTTGAGTTGTTCAGACAGACAGGATCTGCTTAGGCTGAGAATGAGCCACAATAAACAGCAGAAAATGCATGGTGACCATTTTGGAGACTGGAAACCCAAGACCGAGATTCTGGTAGAAGCCGTGTCTAAATGCCAGCCTCGTTCCCCACAGAGCTCAGCGTCCAGGCCTCCAACACCTCCCAGACAGCTTATACCACAGCAGTAACCCCATATGTAACTAAGATTGGCTGGGCACTGGTGGCTCCCGCCTGTCATCCCAGCTACTCAGGAGGCTGAGATCTGAGGATCACGGTTCAAAGCCAGTCCTGGGGGCCAGGAAAGTTCTCAAGAATCTCATTTCCAAGGAACCAGCAGAAAAATCTCAAGTGGTAGAGCACCAGCCTTGAATGAAAGAGTTCAGAGACAGCGCCCAGGTCCTGAGTTCAAGCCCCAGGACTGGCACTACTAATATTAACATTATATTAATTATAACAATATTAATAATAACAATAATAACAATTTTTTTTATAAAGCGAGTCCATGCATGTCAGCTTTCCCAACTTCCACAACCTGGCTAGAGGAAAGAAAACTCTGGAAAAAGAAGCAAATGGCAGAATCTCAGACACAACTGCTCTGCAGTGCAGAGATTTCTCACAAGCCTGCATTAAATCAGGCTTTCCCGGACTCTTCTCCTCTTGCTCATTTAGAAAGGCCAGAAGTTGAAGAAATATATCTGTGTGCCACGTGAAAAGCTGAGTTGCAAAGCTATTCAAGTAACGTGTGTTTTTTTTTTCTTTTTCTCTTTTTTTTTTTGGGGGGGGGGGTCCATTTTCATTCCCCTAGAGAGAGTAGGGAAGGAAGTGGGGACAATGTCTCCCCCTAAATTAGAAAGGCATCAGCTCTGCTGAATTCATTTTGTTGTAGGGAAATATAATTCTGGCCCTACTGGGTTGGTTATTTGGGGGTTTTCTTTTCTGTTTATGTTTGTTTTTATCTTCTTGAGACACTTTTTGTCTTATTTTAGAACGTGTCTCCTCCACAATGATCAGATTCATACCAGGAAGAAGTTATAGCAGGAGGAGAATTCACTCATTGGACAGATTGATTTATTTTTCCCCCCCTTCACGAGGAGCTGTGATCTGTCTCTTCAGCCAAGGAGCCGTGAAGGCAGAGCGTGTCCACAGCTGAGGGAAAGAGGCAACGAGGCCACCAGTAGAGCAAAATCAGGACTACGATTCCCAAACACAGTGGAGAGTAAGCAGCATGCGCCATTAGAGAGCGCACAGCACCCAGAGCAGCTCACGCCTGTCATCCCAGCAACTCAGGAGGCTGAGATCTGAGGATCACAGTTCAAAACCAGCCCGGGCAGGAAAGTCTGTGAGACTCTATTTCCAGTGAACCGCTCAAAGAGCTAGAATGTGCTCAAGTGGTAGAGCACTAGCCTTGAACAAAAAGATCAGGGACAGCCTCCAGGCCCTGAGTTCAAGCCCCAGGACCAGCACAAAGAGAAGCAGGGGCGGGGGAGAGGGGGAGAGAGACAGAGACAGAAAGAGACAGAGTCAGAGAGACAGAGACAGAGAGCAGAGACAGACAGACAGACAGACAGAAGAAATATCAAAAACTAAGTGAACAAGCATTGCTCTGATTTTTATATAGTTCCTTTATCACCTCGAACTTTTTCATCTAATCTCACCAGATTGTATCTTACAATAAAATAAGTTCATGCTAAAAAAAAAAGTCTTTGGTTGATCATTCTACCTTGCTACCAAAATATGTGATGTGTATTTACTTTTCTTTTTGATCAACAAGTATCCAAAGCAATATAACCAATTTGCTTCCCATAAAGACATTGTAGCTGGGCGCAGGTGGCGCATGCCTGTCATTCTATTCAGGAGGCTGAGATGTGAGGATTGTGATTCAAAGCCAGCCTGGGCAGAAATGTCAGTGAAGCTCTTAACACCAACAAATTACTCACAAAAAGCCAGCAGTGTGGCTGTGGCTCACGGGGTAGAGCACCAGCCTTGAGCAAAAGAGCGCAGAGACAGCGCCCAGGCCCAGAGTTCAAACCCCGGGACCAACCCAAAAATTAATAAAATTAAATAACTAAATAAATACATTACAAATTTGGTAAGATTATTACAGATGAGCGACACTACACATTAGAAATACCCCTCATTACAATATGGGTCAGGCTCATTTACTCAGTGTCTGAAACTACAGATAAATATTATTTAGCGCTATGATTGCACAACACCAGATCTATTTGTGTATC